AGTCAATATGCGCCGTTTTGTACGTAAACTTGTTGCCAAAAAAAGCTGACCTTATTATACCCCTCTCGTAGAAAGCTGCGTCCCTATGGGCAAAAAACTCGGTGAGTCAATTTTCACAGGCCTCTCTTGAGGCCAACTACTCACCATTAAGCGCGTTCGCCATGAACACGAAAATATAGTATTAACTTGGTGACAGGTATGGGCTATACGGTGGGTGCATTAGGACCTTCCATCCGAGCTCCTGGAGCTTATGGCGCGTCAGTAAAGACGTATGTTCGCCATGGAAAGCAAAAGATGGTAATCACTTGGTGCCAGGTCTGGACTATAAGTTGGATGCATTAGGACCTCCCATCCGAGCTCCAGGAGCTTTTGGCGCATCACCAAAGCCGTATGTGTCCTGGCGTTGTTCTGATGGAACACAATTCGGCCTCTGTTGATCAAAGCTGGCCTCTTCTAGATGAGTGCTTCAAACGGTCCATTCGTTGGCAGTAGAGGACCGAATCGAGCGTTTGGCCATGGAGGAGCAACTCGTAGTAGATGATTCCTTGCCAATCCCACCAAACACTCAGCAAAATCTTCCTGCCCGTCAACATTGATTCGCAGGTGGAAATTCGGTCCAACATGTTTTTTTGCGTTAGTTCGTGTGGCACCCAAACATCGATCTTCTTTTTGAATCCAAGGTTATGCAAAGGGTTCCAAACGGCTTCTGGCTTATCTTTAGTTTCTCAGCAATTAAATAAGTGCTCACGTGACGGTCTGTTTCCACTGTTTCCATGATTCTATCGTAATTTTCGACGACAGGCCTCCCGACGGGTGGTGCATCTTTGACATCGAAATTACTAAATTACCGGAACGGAACCCAGAAAACCACTTTTGTGCTACACGTTCGTTTACAGTATCGGGTCCATAAACTAAATTAATTTTTTCAGCTGCTCTGACTGCTTTTTCACCTTGATCGAAGAAAAATTGTAAAAAAGTAGCAAATTTTCTCTTTGCTGGTGTTCATCTTTGACGGGCGCTCGCAACGTACTGAGTCAATCAATCGAAAAACTGTCAAAGACAAACTTTGCCTTCTCGTCGCACTCCCTTTGAATGCGGACAGCTCTTGTGCGAGTTGTTGTAACACGGCTAACAGAGACATGCTTGGGGATTAAGAGTTTATTACAGTCGGCTTGCATAGCTGTTGACTAGAGGTGCAGTCGCATGCGGGCGACGCTCTTGAGGCAATCGGCTCGCTATATGAATATATAGTATCCTAATTCACCTGTGGATTCGGGTTGCGATCGAACACTTGAAAACCAACTCTAATTAAAAAAAAAAAAAAACCCAAATAAACTGAGAAATAAGTTTTCTTCCATAAATCGGCGCAACCTAACCTATAAACCATTTTACGCTCTCTGCAACCACTTTACATGCAAAAAATGAAAATGAAAACAAAAATAAAAATAAAAATGAAAATAAAAATGAAAATAAAAATAAAAATATGTATAAAAAACGCAACACAACACATCGCTATCATTATTTGTGAAAATCGAATTTCACAGATAAATGAAGTTTTTGATTTGCAACATCTTCGTGCCGTTACTTTGGCAACAAGCAGTGAACGCCAGCAACTGATGCAAGTGTAAAATACGACACACATGTTTCCGATTATCAAGTTCTTATTGCACTTATTTGTTGCGCACACTTGCACGCTAACAAACACTGTGTGCGCGTGTGTGTGTGTGTGTGTGTGTGTGCGAAACTGCAACGAAGCAGAAAAAGCTAGCGTTGCATTATTTTTACGCCATCGATGCAGTGTAGCAGCTGCGAATGATGAAAAATTGGTTAGCAACGGATTTCGTGCCATTCACTCGATTTACACACTTATCGTCTCCCTCTTAGTTCTTTATTTTCCGTTATTTTTTTATTGTTAACTGAGCACTTCTTTAGCAGGATGCTTTTTTTTTTTGTTTTTTTTTTCGCTGTTTCGTGCTTACAAATGTCGAGCCATTCGTATGTAGATAAATTGCTAATGTTCCGTTACGCTGAGCTGGCATTAATGAAGTTTTAAACGTTTTGCGACTCCGTGTGAGAGGATTGCATACTCGTATTTGTGCTTGCTCTGTGTTGTTTTCATTTTTTACACAACAACAATAACAGCTGCTTCGCTATGCGTTACTCTCTCGCCCACTCTTTCTCTCTTTCTTTAATATAATTTCTGTGCAAACACTTTTCATACTTTTTTAATTTTAGTTTTTTCCTCGTTTTTCTCCACATTTGCTTTTATTAAAAAATTGGAAAAGTTTTTTTTTTTCATTTAACAAGCAGAATCGCATATAATTTTACAAAACGTTTTGAACACTTCTGACACTTTTCTCTTGAAAAAGTTTCCAATGGCCATTCGTAGAAATACGAGCATATGTATGTAAACTTGTATCCTCAGCTGTAAGTGTTATGTGGATGAGAAGAAATCTTTAAGGGAAATCGACCGGAGATTGTTGCCTGAAAGCGGTCTACATATATACGAGGATATATATGGTGAGCTAGACTATGTGACGGCAATAAATAGAAAGTCGGTTATATAGAATGTAGATCTATTTAGGAACCTTATTTGTCAATCCGAAAACGAATTGGTAAAATTCCAAAGAACCTTGAACCGGTTACCGATGTTGTAATGCCTGTGCATCATGGTTTTGCTTATTCCACCTCAAATATCGTTACTGTAAGTGAAAGTGTAACCGAAGACCCGAATGTGTATATTTCTAGGACTTTCTAACGGCGTATTATGGCACTTGGCCTCACACTTACAACCATGAAAGGTCCAAATCACGCAATAATTGAAGCCAGTTGACCATTCATATGATATACATGCATACATACGCCAGTGCTTAAACAAACACCAGTGGACGGCGATCTTTCGAATAAATCTTTCTTCAGCGACAGAGCACATTTCTCATTCGGCGACACGGAAATAAACAAACTTCTTGTGTTTAGACCACACCGAAAACCATCAAATAATTGAAGAGAGTCCATTACACTCGGAAAAAACTTACTGTCTAGTGGGTTCTTTGTACCCGAAGTGTTATTGGATCTTACCTCTTTGCAAACGACAACGGCGAGACTGTCACTGTCAATTCAAGGCGTTATACGATCGTATGATAACGAACTCTTTTTACTCTGCTAGTGAAGAACACGACTTGAACAAAATGTGGTTTCAATGAGATGGTGCCACATGCCACGCAACACAAGCGAATATGACTATGACTCTCGTCTTGATGATATCAATTGGTCAGCGAGATCATGTGATTTGACACTGTTGAACTTTTTTGTTAGACTCCGCAAAAGACCGCATTTTTGCTTAACTCTTGAGCACTTGAAATCTAAGATTCGCCCCTACAAATAGAGGTACCTACAGTTATGACAGGTAGACGTGAAGTAGGCTCCACTTTCCCTCATCCGCAAAAGTGTATGTAGTTGTGGCACTAGAAATGTGTAAAACAAATTTCATCAAAATATCTCAAATCTTAACAGAGTTATTGTATGCACGGATGGACGATGAGCTATGTCTCGTCATTCCATGAAGTTTGATACACATATCCACATATAATATATATCTTGATTTAAAAATAAAAAGCTATCTTCTAATCGCAGGCGGTCGATGTACTAGACGACCTGAATCCTTTCAGTCTCTTTTCAGAAGGCAAAGCATGATCAAAAAGCGCTACATAAAGCCAAAAGTTCGGAATTTCACTAGCAAAAAAAGAGGTCAAACGCCAGAGTACTAGAGAACTATTAACTTCCCATTGTCTGTTGAAGTTTTATGTCTTTGAATTAGAACTGAATAGGTCTGAGTAGAGCACCAGAGTTTTTTGAAAACCAATGTTTGGCAAACAGATGTTGATCACAATTGTTGAGGAAGCTTCAATCAGTCCAAGATCAAAGACAAACATAACTTTTGAAATTTACTATAAAACTTCTTAAGGAAGTCAACCAATTCAACATAACCTATATCCAGCTATCAAGTGATGCAAGTGAGTAGTAAAATACACGATGCTCATTCAATACTCGCCTACTTAAATATTTGTTAAAAATCTTCGAATTTTTTTTTCAAACTGTCAGGAATCCAAATTTTGCTTTTAGTTTTCTCAGAAGTTCAGAACTAAAACAGATTTGAACACAATCGCAAGTTTCCTGTAGCTAGGTGTGAGTGCACAGCCTCATCGTTATTGTAGGAGCTTTAAGGTGTTGGAATCACTTTAGACTTACTTTTTTGTGGAGTTAGTTTCACGAAACTCAGATTGAAACACTTTGATCCTGGATCTGGCAGAAAATAATCATTGTCTGGGACCCTTCCGGAAGTTTACATAATGTTATGGTTATTTAGAACAACTTAAGCAAATAAGTAATTAAATCGAAGCCTCCAAAAGTCTTTTAAGGAAGTTGTTGTTGTTGTTGTTGTTGTTGTTGTTGTTGTTGTAGCGGTTCGCTAACCCCGCTTAGGCACAGGTGTGATCAATCTAAGTCGCCGAGGTCATCTAATGGGAGGTCCAGGAAACGACCTATTTCGACGGGGTTGGACCAAAGGGAGAGGGGGGTTAGATGAGTTGGTTTGAGAGGGTATGTGAAGAGGTGGTTAGTGTCGTGCGGAGTATCTCCATATGCAGGGCATACGTTGGGTATGCTGGTGTCTAGTCTGGATAAGTAGGAGTTTAACCTGCTACAGTATCCAGACCTGAGTTGTGTCAGGGTATTTTAAAGAAGTCGTCGAGTGCAATGAAATTCGTGGGCCATACAATCCGTGAGGTCAATTATTTTGTAAGTCCACTACGAACACTTTCTCGAATAAAGAGCATTTTGGATGGAGGCGACTGTCAAGTGCCACCCTTACCACATTGGTACTTGGACGGTCGCCTCCACTCATAATGACTTTATTTTTGTAGATATGCACGTGATTTTGTTGTTGCCACAGAAATGAATAACTTTTCATTTACATTTCCTTTTGCCTTTTGTCATTACAGAGATTTCTTCTTGGCTAATAGTTCACCATCAAATCTGCACACCAATCGACAGCTACAACAACAGCAACGGCGTTGGGCAACGAAGAAGCCAACACGCAGTACACGCACTGCGAAACGGGCTAGCAACGCCGCTGTCGCCGCCGCTAAGGCCAGAAAACCGACACCGCTAGAGGCCGAACAACAAAAGCAGCAACAACAATTGCAAAAGCAAACACAGCAATCAAAGCGGCAACTATTTGTTAAAATGAATCTGCTAATGGTCTGTGTACTGCTGTTGGTGGCATTAATCTGCCAGCCAACATTGATTTATGGTCTTAGAGGTGGCCACCACTCGGCTGCGGGTACCATCAGCCAGAATGGTGATCACGACCTTGTCCACCATCAGCGTAATGGTGTCAAAACATTTGGCGGTAAAGTGAAACGTTCCCGCTCGCACAGCCCACATGCCACCCCGGGTGAATTGGCGAGTGCCAAGTTGGTAATGGCCATGGAGTCCGGTGATGTATTGGTGCGGCGTGCAGCGCGTGGTGCCAATGTGGAGAGCGTTGATGACAGCACATTGGCTGTTGATGCTGCAGCTGGTGGCAGCGGTAGTGGTAAACGTAACAAAAATGGCAACAGCAATAACAACAATAAGAAGTTAAATAAGAACTCTGATGCACCGAATGGCGGTAGAAAGCAAGAAAAGAAGTTCTCAGCCACAATTGGTGGCCAGGCACAGCAACAGCAGCATCACGGTCATCATGGCAGCGGTAACGGCAGTGGCAATGGTAATGGTAATGGTAACGGTAACGGTAATGGCAAAGGCAGACAACGTCAACAGCTTAGATCACAACATCAGGGACATAGCAAACGCGGCGGCAATAGCGGTAATGGTAATGGCAATGGCAGCAATTCGGGCTCAAAAGTGCGTATGGAGAGCGTGGAAAAGACAACAACATCAGAGAAGACCCGTAAGTAATGCAAGCACATAAACTCTCATCTAAAGATCATCGGTAAATCGAGGGGTATTTCTGAATGCCTTATAGCAAGTGAAGACACCTACTAGCTTAGATAGTAGACCAGTAGTATCGGGACGTGACTTGTAAGGTTTTAAATTGTTGTAGTTGTTGTCTCGGAATTTCGTATCTATGCTACACGATACTCAAATATGAGAGAATTTACTGTTATTAACTTATTTGAGATTAAAAAAGCCGGCGACGATCTAATCCTCAAATATATACTACGTCCCTTATTCAGCCAAGTATTAGGATGCCAAAAAGAGCACCTCTTGCTACACAAACATTCGGGAACGGGGCTACTTCATTTTATAAGCTCTTAAATGTTGATTTGGCCACAGAAAGGATCCCTAAGATCATACCTAACTACAATGCAGCAATCTGTGGCAGGGTCAGCTCAGTCTGGATTATGACTGGTTTTTGATAACCGATTCATTGAACGTTTTGTTATTTGCCCAGCGGCATGAATCGCTAGTTTGGTTGGTTAACGTAGTTTCCTGAAGAGAAAGAGATAAGCAGGTCGAATAGCTGCCTAAATTAGAAGAATCACCCAGTTAGGCAAATATAAGCTCAATAGTCTACTCCTCCACTCCTACAGCTTCACCAATATCCTCTTAAAGCTTGCTTCTAATGATGTTGTGTTTGTTGTTGTAAACGCAAAATATTCCCCGAATATTTCTTCGGGCAATATTGCGGAAGTGGCAGTTCTCAGTCGGATAAAAATCGTCGGTCCGGTATTAAGACGCGACTATCACGAGAACTATTGGATTTTAGTCGCCTACACCATGTGTAAATTCTTGAGCCCCTAACCTGCAGGGTACTCACTTCTAATCCTCCAGCATGTTATTTTATCAGGCTGTGACGTATCTAGTCCCCTATAGTTTTTGAGATGTTCTCATTTCTCCGAAAATAGACGCCAAGTAACCCCTTTTGGTAACATTTGATCTTATTATGATCCCACCGTAAGGTAAATAATTCCATTAGCTTAAGGATTAGAGCATACCATTGCGTTCCCTAACTGGAAGAACATAAGATATTGAGTTTTGCTCTGTAAACTCAGCTACGTTGTAGCTTCCTATTAGTCAACTTAAAGAGAGCTTGTGTTGTTAAGCCATCTCCATAAGAAATTTGCTTGACAGTGTTGTATTTCTAGAATTCATATTAATCGAGCCTAGAGATTTTCTTGCAACCTGGTTGCCACTTCCTTAGCTGGCATTGAAACTCAGTGATTTTTAATGTAACACTCAAATATTTTCGAACCAACCAATCAATGGACAAACCACTATTTTTGCTCCTTTAAAAGTAGGGCTACTTGAGTAATAACGAGAGCTTTTTAGCGGGAGCTTACCCCTAGATTACACTCGATCAACAGATCACACTCGATCGAGAGAACTCACTCAATCAACAGATCACACTCGATCGACAAACGATCGACGGTTACAATGCCTTAATTGTATACATATATGTATGTATATATAGAGTTAGAGCTCTTCTGAGTAACTTGAAATTCTAACTCAGGGCAGTAAGCACTTTCTTGACTTATAAAAATCAGAAAATATATACAGATATGTATAAGCGATCAAATCTTTAATATCAAAATTTCAAAAAATTTAAATACATTTAATTATCCTGCGGCAACAAAAATAGATCCAATGCCAATATTAATAGCATATCATAAAATATACAGTGTGATCGAAAGTGTATCTGTTAAAGGAGCCTTTGGCAAAATAACAATATAAACAAATAAGCCAAAAATTTCGTCATAAATGCCCTGTAGGGAAATTGAATCATAGTAAAATGGTTTATTTCTAGGCAGAACCATCAGAAGTTATTCGATGTCTAAGCGGTGCAGAGCTAAACGGTGGATGACTCATCAAATCGATGTTTAGAGTCCTCGGAAGTTCAACTGACGTATTGAAGAGTTATCCGTCTTCGGTGGTTTGTTTCCTGATTTCTTGAAAGACAACCAGCAAACAGCAGTTGTGCACCACGGAGGATTTGCAGTACTCCGTTGTCCTCGTGGCACGGTTGTGACCTGAGTGGTTTTTAACCAAAAAGAAAGCAAACAACCATTTGCTCCATTCCGCGAGCGCGTACAACTTTTATTGAATTCAGACATACAGTCAACTGCTCTCTATTTTTTGACTGGCACGCATAAATCTACAATTCATTACCTGTCACTGCGATATCGTATCACGTCTTTCAAGGCAACGCGACCAATATACCTGCCTTTTGTTGACCGATTGACAAAATGTGTGGGATCCAACGTAGACGAATTTGTTTTTTTTTTCAGTTCAATATTCAGGCAATATTAAAGTTATGCTGGGCCCAATAATGTCTCCAGTTTACTCAACCTGCCGTGAGGTCACTTGAGTAGGTCACATGTGCTTGCCACAGCATTAAATAGGAACAACAACTGATTTTTAATGACCTTCACGAAATTCGTATTGAAGTGGTCTACGACCACGAGATTGAATTCACAATATCATCGATAAACACTGGTCCTTGGTGGAGATTCATCGCCTAAAATTGGAATAAGTTTATCGACGCAATGTTGCTGAGTTAATCCATGTCGCAAGTTGTTAAAAATAATCGCGTGGAAATGTTCGCGATTTAATACTATTGTTGAATATTTTAAGTCACTCTAAACAACACATAAAGTGTTCGTATGTCAAAACGTTCTGAGTATGAAACATAAAAAATTACAAAATTTACGATAAAGTTGTTGGTTGCCAAATTACAACACTGGTGCTTCAAATGCCGAAATTTGTAAATGGTAACCCTCGACGTCAGAAAAACAACAAATTTGTATTCTTATTTAGTTTTTTTATTTTTTTTATTTGTTTTTTGTTTTTTCTTTTTGTAGTTTATCGCCTGAAGGATTGCCTTTACAAACTACATATATTTCGAATAAAAATCATTAAAAATTATTTTATAAACATTTCATTTCAATTTTTAGTAAAATTATTCGCAAATAAATAAAATAAAATTTAAAATTGTTTTAGGCAATATTATAAAATTCTAATTTTTCCAAGAATACAAAATTTTCTAATATATAAAATTGTCTAGACACGGTTTTTGACACGATACTTCTCCTCGATTAAAGGCTCGGCCGATTTAATCGAATTTTATGTGCGTATTCAGTAGGTCTGAGAATCGGTTAACATCTATTTTTCACACCCTTAAATGATAGGGGGCGTCCAGCGCTAATTTTTTTTATTTTTTTTTTTTGGACAAAATTTTTTTTAATTTTCTTATGTTGTGTCTTTACAAATACATTTCCTAATTTTCGCTCTTCCATCACCAATAGAAAAATTTTTTTCCCCAGTTTTTAGTCAAAATTTTATTATTGGATTTTTTTCAGAATGTATTAGCACAAAAAAAAATTCATTTAATCATAAATGAATTTTTTCTCTTTGTTAACCCTTCGAAGAAAAACTCCGATGTCCGTTTTCAACGGTTGTTCTCCAAAAGTTACCTACCGATCGGCTTGAAATTTCGTCATATTGCTTCTATGATACCTGAGAAGATTTTCACGGAAAAAAAATGTTGTGGAAGTGGATTGGGGACTGACCTACTGAAAAAATCTTATTTATGATTCTACTCGTATTTAAGTGAAATTCCGCACATAAAAATGAATGTTTTTTTGTTAAGGACGCTAAGACTCGAGAACAGTTGCCCCGATCTTGATGGAATTTTCAGAGGTTGTTCTTTGTGGATCTGGGAAGGTTTAGTAATAAAAATCAACGACGTACTTATCCTAAGGAAAAGTCGGAAAATTGGAAAACTCCAAAAAGTAACTTATTTACTTTAAATTTTTTTTTTTATTTATTTTTTACTTTGTTTTTACAAATCTGTCTTTTTAAAAAAAAAAATCTTTCTGATCTTCTTTTTCGAACAGTCTCGTTTGTTGATCAATAAATCTAACCTCATTCCCATAATTTAAAATCGCATCTTATGACCGCTTGGAAAAATCTCCTATAGTCACCAAAAGTTTAACCTGAAAATTCGTCAGATTGTTTCCATGATTCCTAGGGAGGTCTTTTCGAAAAATAATTTTCGTCGGGAACTAGACCAGGGACTGGCTTAAAGGGAAAAATTTCATTTATAGCTCGATTTATTTGAAACTCGGTACTTGGTTTAAAAGTAAAACTACACATTCTCCGTAATGTGGACCAGGGACTGACCTATTTGAAAAAAAAAATCATTTATGGCTGAAATTACTTGAAATTATAGGTTCAATGGATTGCTTAGATTAAGAGGAAGGTTCGGGAAGTGTGCCAGGTGATCTATTATCAGGTGTACAACTTTGCTTTCGCCGTTTTCCGATAGGTGGCTGTACCGGCTGAGGCTGGTTGAAATACATAGATGATAATGCCTTTAGAGTGAGTGTGCACAGTGCCTAACGAATTGTCATCGCCATTTCATTGAAAGTTGTTCTTGTTTTCGTATTATTCATTATTATTTAGTGGGATCAGCTCGGCGGGATTTACTACGCGCTCTTAAAACCGGGAGATCGCTACCGAACGCAACTGATGCGCCTTAGTCACGCGGTAAAAGAAAAGCGACCACAATATCAAGAGCGTCATGACAAAGTCATTCTCCAACACTCAGCCTCACGTTGCAAAAGTGGTCAAAAAGTAATTGGAAACGCAGAAATGGGAAGTTTTGCCCTATCCGCCGTATTCCCCAGATGGCGCCCCTTCTGACTTCCACCTATTCCGTTCGATGGCACACGGCCTGGCAGATCAACATTTTCAATCCTTCGAAGAATTGGAAAAATGGATTGCTTCATGGCTAGCGTCAAAAGAGGTCTCGTTTTTTCGAGCCGGGATTCGAAATTGCCTTAAAGATGGGAGAGAGTTGTCGCTAGCGAAAAAAAACGGCGGAAGCAAAGTTGTACACCTGATAAAAAAAATCTTTTTTATGGTTCCATTTACTTGAAATTGGTTTAA